TTCAAGTATAAAATATATCCTTTTTCTACTTATCACTTACGACTTATCTCTTCCTTGTGAGCCGCTTTCCGACAGCGTATTCATATTCAGATTCTGATTCGCTCATTTTTCAGTATATATTTTACTAAAATATAATGTAAAATAAAATATAATAATAATAACAATAATAATAATAACAACAACAATAATAATAACAACAATAATAATAACAATAATAGTAATATTCTGAAAATTAGAATTGCAATAAAAATTTTGATTGTTTTTGTATTTTTGTAATTTTCTTGCCAAGACAACGTTCTAAATTGTGTTTTTTTACATTTAAAAAAATTGATTTTTTTTGGCCGGCCTTTTTAAAAAAAAACTGTGCATTAAGGAGTTAATCGATACACGAAATTCTTTTTTAATCATTTTTTTGAAAATTGCGAAACTGGGGTCACTAAAACAACTGTAACCTGTAAACTGATCATCAAAATGTCATGAAATTTTGACATATATTGCTCGAAGGATGCTACTATCCAGAAATCATATAGGTTCGTCAACAGTGTTGCCATATATGTGTCAGACCGGAGACTTATTGAGCGATGTGTTACTTCTAACTGTATCCATGAAATAGAAAGTAGATTTATTCAGAATAAATCTCGAGTAATCGACGGTTTCTCGATGAATTTTGTTCGACAGCCGTGGAAATCTTATTCGTCGAGCAACAAATAATAAATGCGGTATAATCGATTCTTAGCAATTCTTATGAGATTTAGAAAACGATTATTAAGCTCCTTTCAGGCACAGCACGGCAATTAAGGAGGCTATTAACAGATTTCCGGTAGTTAAAGCGTTAATGTCGCTATCGGAGGATCGTTTGCAGGCGCAGCGATCGCAATTAGTTATTCGAGAACAGTACTCGCTTCTTCTCGTAGATGCAAAGTGCGATAAAACGATACCAGATGGCAAATAAAGAATGTACGAGATAATGATAATGAAACGATATTTCCATGTTTCAGAGACTCAATTTCGTACGCGTAAAATGCGCTTTGTCTTGTAAAGACGAACGTACTATAAGTCAGAAAAATAACTTTAGATTTACAGTTAAGATGGCTTCGAGTGCAAAGGGTTAAAAGCGGCGAAAGGTGATAATAACAAGTTCACCGTAGTCATAATCGATTACATTGATTACTTTCGGTGCTCGGCAGTTTCGAACAAAATACCTGAAAAGATCATTATCGGTGCAGTTTTTGCGGAACGAAAATGCTTAATTCTGCAAGTATAATAACCGTATAATTGCGGTCGGTTTAGTCGCCTAAAAGCGGGCGTCGGTGCGCAAGGGGTTAAAATATCCTTCCGCTTGCGGTTGGGACCTTGCGCCGGGCCTTGTGCCATTTCACGAAGTTTACGGTTGAACGATGAATTCAACCGTTTGAGTCCCAGGGAGTATTGAAAAAACACCGTCGAAGAATCGCAAACAGCGCAACCGCGCTTTCTCTAAACGAGTACGAAAAGACCCAAGCGGCGCGACAGCGCTTGTTTTATTTTATGTCGAGAAATACCAAGCGGCGCGATAATAATGAATTAAACAATTTTATTTTGTAACGTATTATTGCATTATTACAGTATTATTCTACCTATTGTAAAATGTACTATTTGCATTAAAAGGAGCTGTGCGATGTGCTTGCTTCGGTAAATCCGAGCGCGCTTCGACAATCGGTAACGCACCGTCGGTTGTCCACGATGTTCGAAATGCGCTGGGTTTTCTCGACAGAAAATCTCAACGGCGCGGTTGCGCTGCTCGGGACTCGAACGGTTAATAAGAGATAATCGTGGGATCGTTGCTGCGAAAACAGAAACGATGTCACCGAATCGTTCAATAAAGGACCCGCATTTATCGGACATCGCCGTAGCGGATTCGCGTCAGCTAAGCGATTCGTCTTCGCGCGCCAACTCGCGAAGATGTCGGTGTTTCTGGCATTACTGTAAAGGACACGATAACGCGCGTTCGCAAATCACGGTTGGAACGAAATTATCGCCGCGCAGAAATACAGTTAATGTCTCTCTAATTGACGCCC